TCATGAATTATTTCAACAAATGCTCTAATTTGAAAGGAAGAAGCCACCATAAAACGTTTTCTGAAATTGCTGATTGTTTTTTCACCTAAAAACGACGTTTGGTGTCCTTTTTGTCTGTAAATAAATCGCCTGCTAGGCTTTCGTTCAGAGAACTGCCGTTACTATCCCTCAATGTTTCGTTTCTTTCTCTCTTTCCTTTCCGCTGATAGATGACTCAAGAAATATGTTTGTTTTAGAATTTTCTTGTTAATATTCCTCCCCTGCATAGTCATAACATTTTAGTGTAGCCCGCTTCAGTCAAGGACGGAGAGATGCCTGACTATAATTTCTGACACTGAGTCCGTCACATCTGTCCGTCAAGCAACAATGAATCGAATTAGCATTAAAACTGAATTATCCGGGTGCGCCTTTTAACAGTAAAAGCTGGCTAAATACTCAAGTTTGGAGGACAATGACCACAAGAAAGATTCGGATTTGGATGTAAATTTAACTTATCATGGGATGCAAAAAAGTAAACAATATTCTCTGATATTTGGGCGAACTATATGTATTTCCTCGCAGACATTATCTGGTACTGAACATCCGATCCAGAAGCGTCAATAGCCAATTCCATATTTTGGCAAACACCTTAGTGGTCCAGAATCCAGCAATTTAGAATCTTTTTATTAGTTTTGCGCCGTGTGTGGTCCGAATGAACGGAATATAATCACACATTGACTGGTTAAACAGTTTTACTTATAATCCATCAAGTAGTTTCGCTCGCACGCCATTGTTGACATTTCATCGAAAACAGCACACTGAATTTCCTGTTCAGTTTGCTTTCAAATCATCTACCTTATCTTTGGACTGAATAATGATGTATTTTTTAGTTCTTTAAAGGTTTTTTGTTTACCTACATAAAATATATTACAGTAATTTTGAGTGCCACTGGAAAGCGGTTTTTTTTTATAATCCCTTCTTTTATAAATACTGGTCATGTTTTATTGGATCCCATCCTATAAAAGCAAATATATATGCCACCTACACCATACATTAAATGACATTTTATTTACCTAACGAAATGAAATGCTTTACACCAAAGCAAGGCGCAAAGTCTGAATCCCTGATTATTATTTGTTGCTTAAGTAGCCGCAACACTATCGGTACAACTTTCTAGTTTACTTTCGTTATTGTTAATTTATGACGGAAATCAGTAAAGGCCGACTGGAGCACACTGTATTGTTGCAGCGTTTTCTAACCAACGGTAATCCTCTGTGCATAAGGTTGGGGTGATAAGAAGTTGAACCCGAGCGCGCGCAAAACGGCAATAACTTTTTCCCTCAGTTCTTTTATCTTCCAACAATATATAACAGGATTGAAAGAAAAATTTACATAAATGGCGCTAAAATTAAGTGCAAACCGAGTATAGTCATTAAGTCCCATGGCAAGTGTAGCAAGCAACAATGCCTAGTGTGGCAAATAACACAAAAGAAAAAGTCTATTGATCCATAGCATGTTATTCACAGCTTTCTTGTACTGAGCCACATTAAAGTCGGTCGACTCACTGGAGTTCACCTGATGGTAAATCTGTGCAGCATGGCGACGAAGACCACGACAGATTCCGAAATAACAAAAGAAAGTTATAGGAACGCAACCGAACAATACGATTGCCACAATGATCTTGTTGATTTGGTCATTCCAAAACCAGATTATCGACGAAACTGCAGCGAAAATCTAATCTGCCACAAGAATGAAGACAAATCGTCTAAGTGTGACGTGTTCTCGGTATCTCTGTCGAAGACGAAAGGCGAGATATCGATCAACAGCAATTGTTGTTGTAGTCAAAACCGAAGTCCCTTCAATGAACGGTGATATTCTCCCATATGTGATGGCTATAACACAGTAATAACTGGGAATTTCTAAGATGATCAACAAGTAGTAAACTGTTACCAGCGGAAAAACAATCAGCCCAACGAAAAGATCCGTCAGAGCCAAGTTATGACAAACCTTTTGATGGAGAATGAAGAGATTGACACTTGCGAAGAGCGAGTAGGATCATAGTGTTACCCAAAGTTGATGAAACTGAGAGGATCACACTAACAAGACAGGCAAAGATGTAGATAGTCCTCGGGAATTGTTGCACCGCGGGATAATATAGAGTGCTGATAGGACTGCAAAAGGACGTGGACGTCCCGGTCATCTCTAAAGTGGTCATAAACCTCTTTTAACTGAGATTGCAGCTAATTCAGTGAAACGGACAAATGGATCGTCCACATTATTGATTGAACTGTCACTAGCAAGTTGACTTGTGTTGACTAATGAATTCTCTGCAAATTACCTATGAACTTTAAGGTCGACTGTATAGTGCTTACAGTCAATTAGCATTTTGCGTACACTATATATTCAACTCTGTACTTTGTAATTTAAACTGAAGATGAAGGAAGATTCTGTTGAAACATGTTTTTAAAAAACGTTGTGTTGTTTATAAAAATTTTAACATGTCTGCAACTATCCAGACCTTCTGTTAAGTTAGTACTTGATATTTTCTTAAAAAACAAGACCATCGTGCAATTTCTGCTTGTCGACTCTTTTTTCATCATTTTGTATACTCATCCGCTAAAAATAAACTAACACTGTTGTGTCGACAATAAACTATGTTCCTCCATTTTAATTAAACCCAACAGGTGTAACGACACGACAACGGCTCTTTACATGAAGACAATAACGATACTTTTCAATACGATATATGGGCACGCTTAGATAATACTAAAACAGCTCATGACAGCGGTAACTAACCTTTCAACTTTTATTGATAACATTTGTATTTCTCTTCATAGTAACAGTGTAAAACCGGCTTGCGTGCAAAACTAATTACGTAAACACTATCCATCAAATTAAATCGGCAATTTTTTTTCATCAGTTTTTGCATAAATTTACGATTGCCTTTACATGGGGTGACAGATGTTCTGAAATATGGCAAAGGATTCTTTCCTTATTTCTTTCATTTTCCAGCAATAAATGACCGGGTTGAGAGAAGAATTCAAGTAAATAACAACCGATGTTACGTTTTTGGCCAAAACCAGTACATCGTTGTCGAATGCTATTAGTAAGATCAGGTTAAGATAATACGGTACATAACATACAAGGAGACAGCAATAAACCCAAACCATATTGCCTACAGTTCTCTTATATTCACCTACACTGAAGCTGCTGTTGTTTTGGTTCGTGGCAAGTTGACATTGCACCTGAATGAGTGCCGCCTGACGACGTAAACCTTTGTAGATTCTCTGATAACAAACCAGAGTAATGACAACACAGCTCAATATTGCTATAGTTCCTAATACCCTGTTCAGAGTCTCATTCACTATCTCAGTGCAAGCCCACATTATTGCTAAAATCCACTCCGCAATTAGCAACGAAACCACTTTTCGCAGCGTTATCACTTGACGGTATTTTATTCGGAGTCGGAAGGCAAGGTATCTATCCAAAGCGATCGCTGTAGTTGTGAAGAAAGACACTGTCCCCAACACGGCAGCCATGATGCGAAACGACCTCCACAGAAAACAGTACAGTGAAGGTTTCTTTAAAACTACAGCCAGATTCCAAGCCAGCTTAAGCGGAATGACAAGAACTCCAACGCCAAGATCCGATAGTACCAGACTGTATAGAAGAGCCTTTGATGGGGGCTGTAAAGTTCGACATCTTCTTAAAGCAGCCAGAATCACACTATTTCCAAGAGTGGCGGTAGCTAGAATAAGGCTGTTGGCAACACTTACGACGTGATAGACTTCTTTCGGGAAATCGTGTGTTATGTTGTAACGAGCGAAATCCGCCAGAGAGCAAGTTGATTCGTTCATTATGAGCAGCTGTGCCCCAAAATTTCTTCAAAGGAGTGGAAAACTGTCGGTGATGGTGCTGCTGACACGATCAGTCTAGATTTACGACGTCTATCCTCAACGAAGGTATGATAATAATATCATTTTTACAGATGTGGGCCTGTGCTAACAGAAAATTTTTGTTTACTAAAAGTCGTCAATGCGATGCACTTTTCACATGCAAATTGTCATCTTTTATTTCAAGGTTAAAAATTGTTTGCATTTCCTTGGCTATTATAGTGTCGGACGGGTTTGTGGACTGATTTATTATTCCTCCATAATTAGTTTTGCTACACCTGTCTTTCGTGCAAACAGTGATAATTACCAGAATTTCTCGTCTGGCTATTGCTATTTTTCTTTTTTGAATAGAACAACCGCGGGGGTCAAAGCAGTCCAAATCCGCGCGAATATCGACCCTCGGTCGAAGTTTGCTAGCCGATATAGAAACCCCCTAAAAGAAATCAAAAGGCTTTTTAAGCCAACTCGCGATAGATAACATAGCCAGTAAAACATGGAACACGTGAGTTGGGTGAATCAATCTGATGTATTCGAGTTTTCAGCGAATTGGCAAACCCTGAACGTGGTTGTTTTGTCAGTGTCACAGGGAGTCAGGCTCGGTTTCATGTATAATCTGTATAATCTGCTACGCTATCACTCATTAATTACCCGCTGACAGAATAAATCAACACCAAAACTTAACTTATGAGAACCGACCCCTCATTTGCATATCATTTGCATAATCTGATCACCCACTACAACTCGTAACTTACTATCGCAATCGCTGATTAAAAAGGTTTTTCGGTCTTCACCACAATCTTCGGTAATTTATTCCATTTGCTAACTTTCTGTTAATTTTCCTTTGATTTCCAACAGAACAATTCTTTATTAATTAGAATACACATGCATATTAAGTGTAAAACTTCTGGGGGAAACGCATATTCGGGAAAAAATGCGATGCTGTTAGCGAGTTCGTATGAGTCAGTACGTGGCTGCGTAGCCGCGCGATGCGGTTCCAGTCGATACTCACGATTTGACCCTTGCTCACGATAGAGTCTCCAGTAACTCAGTGGTTAGAGCATTCGACTAGATCACGGAGGGTCGTGGGTTCAAATCCCATTTGGTGGTCGGATTTTTTCCGAGTATACGTTTCTCCCAGAATTTTTACAGTTAATATCATGTGGTTGACGGTTGTTTCTCCGGTAGAATACACATTTAGTTTTAACTTCTCTATTTAATAAATATGAATCCGCCAATAAGAAGCAGGATTTTTACGAGATAGTATAAACAAAGTTCATATGTGATGTCTACTGAAAATTTGGGCTATTTACCTTTTTTAAGGCTCTTACTTCCTTTATAAGTGTTGCTTGTCCAAATGGCTGCGGCGCTACGTTACGCAAGAGAAAAAGATAAATAAATCTCAAAGTAAGACTAGGTTGCAAGGAAATACGGCGCACACCCTTCTCTAGATCCCCTCATTTAACTCCGTAGAAAAGCAACTTAAAAGTATCGTGAAATGTTACAAAGGACAACAGTTGCCAAAATGTTTCGAATTTCCCATCAAAGAGATACATGCCTTCAAATTTTTAACAAACAAACAAGCTGCCCCTTTCCTCAATTTATCTTCCCAGCATCAATGGAAATGGATAAAGCGTTAGATTTTTTTCCAAAACATCAGTAAAACAGGCAAATTTAATTAATTATATTGTCAATAACGTCAGTGGGGTTTCAGCGACTATGACAGTAGCGTATCTGCTGCGGGAAACGATAATTTGGTGTTTTGACAATTTGCATAATTACTTTTCTAAGGTGCAAGTTCACCGGGCAGCACTGCATCTAGAGGCTGTTTTTTTCCAGAAAGAAGGATTTTAATTTTTCAAATGAAAATGGTGAGTTATTATTTTACTAAAATGTCTCATATTAGGTACTATTTGATTGTAGTCAGCACCACTGCATCAAGGTAATCGTGATATCTATGTTTTCCGTTAATCTAAATGGTTTAGTAAGGTCGCTACTATTATACTTATTACGCAAAACAGCGCAGGTTATAGTTCGAGTTCACCGGCCAGACTTTGAAGCTACAGTATCCATCAGCTACGATTAGCTCAGTATCCATATCTGTAGGGTCGGCAAGAATGATAACTGAACTAAATGTATAAAATTCTAATGTGAGAGGAAGACAATCTTGATTTTGATGTGTAAGGTGTGTAAGATGTGTAAGATGTGTAATTGGCACGGAACACCTGCAGCCTGGGTCTGACGCTTCAGTCTTCAGTTCTGTTATAACCACGCGTTGTACTAACATGAGTGAATAATTGAAAGTAACCCTAAAGAAACCATGTGTTATTTTCACAAGTAAGTAAGTAAGTAAGTAAGTAAGTAAG